TGATATGGGGGCTGGGAACCAAACTTGGGTCCTCTGCAAGAGCACTAAGCCCTTTTAAACAATGAGTCATCTTTCAAGCTCTGGAAACAGAATTTCTTTTTGCTTTTAATTTAATGAATTAATTAATTAGAGACAAAGTCTCTCTATGTAGTCCTGGCTGTTCTGAAGCTTGCTATTAGACCAGGCTGGCCTTGAACTCATAGAGATCCTCTAGTCTCTGACTCCCAGGACTGGGATTAAAGGTGTTCACCACCATGCCTATTGCCTAAAACAGAATTTTTGAAGAAAGGAATTCCTATCTTCATCAGCACTGAAGTTGTCAGAAATAGGAAATCTCATGGGAGTCCATCAACAAGCACCAGGCTGACACTTCTGTGTCCCATGATTATCTTACCTGCTGGAGTTGTGGGAAGACTTCAGGGACTTAGCAGAGATGATGTTTAGGGAAAGGATAGCATCAACAGCAGCTTCATCTACCTCAGGTTTATTCCTAATCCGACCTAAAAGAAGGGATAAAGAAACCAGAAGATGAGCATATTAAAAACAAGACATAATTCTGTTAAATCAAAAGGTCTGGTGACACAGTCCTATAATCTTAGCTACGTAGCAGAAGGATCACAAGTTCAAGGCCAGCCTGGGCAACTTAGTGACATCCTGTCTTTAAAAAAAAAAAAAGATAGGAGCTAGTTTAGTGGCAGAACATGTGCAAGACCCTAAGTTCAATCTTAGGTACCATATCTCAGTGGAGAATATCTGCCTAGATGCTCTCTCTTCCTCTGTTTGTTTCTGTCTCCCTCTCTCTCTCACACACACATTCTTTCTTTTTTTGAGACAGGTTTCTCTGTGTAGTCCTGGCTATCCTGGAACTCTCTCTGTTGTCCTGCCTCCCAAGTTCTGGCATTAAAGGCCTGTGCCACCACTGCCCGACCACACACTTTTCAATCTCTGTAATTAGGTGCTTAGAGATCATTTGAATAAGTCTAGGATCCTACATGATTTCCCAAGGTTGTCTCATTTTGTTTTACTATGCCAGGATGGAGGCCAGAGCTTTTCATATCTTAGGTAAGGACTCTACCACCGAACCATGGCACTGATTTATCTAATTATTTTACATCCAACTAACTGCACATTCAGAATTAGCAGAGAGTTCTTCATGATCTTCTCATAATTTCTAGCTCAGATCCATACTCATAGTTAATAGTAGGACGGCATACTAATGGAAACTGGGAAGAGGAGTTTCTTTTTTTTTTTTTTTCTCTTTTCTATTTGCAGTAGAAGGGATTAAACTGAGGACTTGGCATCTACTAGGCAATCACTCTACTCCTCAGCCACAACACCAGCACTCAAAAGAGCTTGAAACTCAAGGCCTTTCTTTTCTCGACTCTGTGTTCTCCACATTTCTATACCTCTCCTGCACTCTGCATAGAATGATGACATTTCTTAAAAGCCAGGTTGTCCTCGGCTAACGGAACATACTTACCTACCACCAGTTCACGAACATCTTTCCAGTGGAGCTCACTGCCCTTCTCATGGATAATAGTCACTGTGATCCGTCGCTGGATGCCCTAGGAGATGGAACAAGATTACAATTAGAAGACTGTGTTAGAAACTGAACAAGGCAGTTGCTGATCTGGTTTTAAGAGATGCCTTGTAGGGCACAGTGTTTCACACCTGTAATCACAGCATGAAGGATGAGGCAAGAGGAATTCATGCATCCTGAGAGAGAGACAGAGAAAGAAAGAGTGGCAGGGGTGGAGGTGGGACAGACATAAAGACAGACACACACAAGAGGTGGGGGAGACAGAGACAGACCAAGAGATTGATTGATTGAGACCCTGTGATATGCTCTAGGGAGGTGGTTCTCAATCTGTGGGTCTCAACCCCTTTGTGGGTTGCATATGAGGTATCCTAAATATCAAATATTTACATTATGATTTACAGCAGTAGCAAAATTATAGTTACGAAATAGCAACAAAATAATTTTATGGTTCTGGGTCACCCAAAATGAGGCACTATATTAAAGAGTCCCAGCATTAGGAAGGTTGAGAACCACTGCTCTAGGATAAGAACTCCAATACAACATGGATGGAAATCTGGACAAGTCATTTTGAGCAATGGCTGATTTTTTTTTTTTTTTGAGACTAGGTTATGTTGTGTAGCCCTGGCTGTCCTAGAACTCACTTTGCAAACCAGGCTGGCCTCAAACTCCAAACTCAGAGATCTGCCTGCTTCTGCTTCCCAAGTGCCAGGATTAAAGGCTTGAACCACCACCATGCCCAACGTGGTTAAAGTTTTTTAAAAGATGGGATCTTGTTATTTAGCTCAAACTGGACAGGAACTTACTAAGAAGCCAAGACTGTCCTTGAATTCATAATACCTCCTAAATGCTGGTATTACAAAAGTGTAGTAGCATACTAGGCTTTGAATGTAATTTAACCGAATGAGTAGGATCTATTTAAAAAGTGTATTTTTAATCCTTTCAAACTTTGATCATCTACCCCCATGAAGAACTTCTGGCTGGGCTGGGTGGCACATGCCTGTAATCCTAGGACTGGGAAGGTTGAGGCAGGAGGATCTCGAAGTTCAAAGACCTTGTATGGAATAATCTTTTTGTACACTGTGTCAATGTGTCACTCAGACTGGTTTAATTAAAAAGCTGAATGGCCAATAGCTAGGCAGGATTTTAGGCAGAGAGGATGCTGGGAAGAAGGGCGGAGAGGCAGATATTCAAGTAGATTCAAAGGAAGCAGCATGGGCACTACACAGTAAAGGTAACTGAGCCATGTAAAAGAACACAGATGAAAAGAAATGGGTTAATTTAAATTATACAGATAGTTAAAAACAAGCCTAAGCTATCAATCCAGCTTTTATAATTAATATTAAGTCTCCGTGTAATTATTGGTGAGCTAGCAATCCCAACAAAAAACTACCTATAACCTGGACTACACAGTAACACTCTGCTACAAAAAACAGTGTTAAGGACATAGCTCAATAATAGAGTACACGCCTAGTATGTACAGGGCTCTATGTCTGGCCTGTACAGCCAAAACCAAAACAAGAGAAGAAGAAGAAGAAAAACAAAAATTCCTCAAGTTAGGTTATGGTGGCTCAAGGCTGCTAACAAATGAGAGGCTGGGCAAGAGACTCGCCTGTGAGTTGGAGGCCTGCCTGGATGACACAGTAAAGAAACAAATTAGTAAAGCCAAACAAAGACTACTGTCAGTGAAACACAAAGCTTCTAAACATTATGAAATGTATATAAAATTGTAGGAGAACAACACAAATGGTAGTAATTGAACTTAAATATTTTTCATACATAGATACAATGTATTTTGACCACAGCCATCCACTACCACCTCCCTCCAACTCTTCCTAAGGCTCTCACCTTGTTATCTTTTCTGCTTCACATCCTCCTTCTTTGCTATTAACACCCACAGTCCAACTAGTGCTGAACACACGTGCACAGGTGTGGGGCCATCCCCTGGGGCCTGGGAAACCTATCTATATTCACACCCTAAAGGAGACTGACTCCTCCCGACACCATCAACTAATGGTGAGTGACTCTTTCAAAGATGAGGCCCTGGAGGATCCTCCTCCAAACCCTTTTTGAAAAATAACTATTCTAGAATATTTTTATACATACAAAGAGTATATTCAAAAATAAAAACCAAAAATGGTGTGATGGCTACTTTGGATGTCAACCTGACTATGTCTGAAGTAACTAAAACCCAAATATGGCTGGGCACACCTATGAGGGATTTTGGCTTAATTAAGAATTTGAAGTGGGATGATCCACTTCTAATCTGAATCTTTGAGATGGGAACATACACCTTTAATGCAGATCTTTTGAGGTAGGAAGACCACATCTAATCTGGGCCAAACACTCTGCAGGAAACCTCTATAAGGACATGGAAGAAGGAAACCCTGCTCTTTGTCTGTTTGCCCGCGCATCGCTAGCAAGTCCATTCCTTCACTGACATTTGAACCTACTTCTTTGGGATTCCAGCATATATTGAAGAGCAACTGAGACATCCAGCCTTGTGGATTGAGCAACTACTGGATTCTTGGACTTTCTGTTCACAGGCTGCCATTACTGGACTAGCTGGACTACAGCCTGTTAAGTCATTCTAAAAAAATCCCCTTTATACTTTATCAGTTCTGTCACTCTACAGAACCCTACTACAAATAGAAATAGTATTTAAAGTTTTGTATTCAAATCCCAGCCATTTCCTACCCTGTTAAAAACAAGGGACAGGACAAAGCAAAAATGTTCTCCCACTTTACTCCCTCCAAATAGAGATGAAAAGTTGAGAAATGTGTTGTTCTCTCTCAGACTTCAGTACCTGGTGCAGCAAAAATGTCCCCTGGCAGGGTAAGCCTGCTGTATGGTCAACCACAGCTGGAATATACCTGTAAGAGTAAAAACACAAAAGACAGAAGTCAAGGCTATTCATCTGCCAAGTTGTCCTGGGCTGCTGTAGCCCTGGGGATCTGTGTTTTCTACACTCTGACCCCATGCAGGCACTTAATCACAGAACCACTTGTATCTGTCACCCTTTTCATGTATCTGTTTCTCACCATCTCTGCCTGACTGGAGTGCTAAAAGAACAGTGGGTTTTTTTGATTCCATCTCTGTCCTTTGCATAATAATTCAGTAAATAATGCATAACTATTATAGAACTGAGTGGAAATAAGAAGCAGATAGTTTCCAATTCTAAATATTTTAAGCTCCAGAAAGCAATTCATTCAGTAGAAACCATCACTGTGACTATGTCTTCATAGTGCAAGCTATGACAGCATTACAGATCTGTTTATGGAAAGTCACATTCATCAACGTGAGTTACAGAGCTATATTTAACACAGGGCCATATGCACAGCAGACATTTACTAATGGTTCATGGTGCTGATCATTGCTGATGGTGGTTTGCTGCATTACCCACAGAGAAACTCTACATGACAGTTACTCCCAAATCTGTGTTAATGGTTGCAGCTACTTGCCTCTTTCAGGCATAGGCTCTTTTATGTTCTTCCCAGGTCATTTTAGAAACAACTATAAACACTAATTGTATTATTTACTCTAACACAGCTCATAAAGACAAGGAAGCTTATGTTCCTGTTCATTTAGGAGAGTGGCTCTTTTCTAGGGAATATCTTTGGTCAGCACAGCTGGACAGAGGTGCTACTAGCCTCTCAGGTATAGGCCAAGGTACTGTGAAATATCCTACAATGCCACAGTGGAAGATAAAGTGGTCTCATACAGGGGCAAGATTGAATTTTTTTCTTTTTTGGTTTTTACAGACAGAGCCTCCCCGTGTAGCCTTGGCTATCCTGGACCTCACTATGTAGACCAGGCTGGCCTTGAACTCACAGACATCTGATTAAAGGCATGTGCCATCACACATGGCTAAGGTTGAAAATTTTAATCCAGGGAAATATCCAAAGGCTCCTACTGCCCTCACTGAGATTAGCACTCTAATTTTACATTACATTTATTTACTTATTCGTGTGTGTGTGTGTGTGTGTGTGTGTGTGTGTGTGTGTGTGTGTTATGACTGACCATGGCACATGTGTGGAGATAGAAGGATAGTTCATAGTAACTGGTTCTCACCTTCTGCCATGTTTGTTCCAGGGATCAAACTCAGATTGTCAGGCTTGGCAGCAAGTGCCCATACCTGCTGAGCCACCTCACTAGTCCCCAGTCATCTCCATCTGAACCTGAAGCAGATCTGTACAGTCTGTTCCACTGACCATCATAGAACCATGTCTTCCCTCATAGACAAGTGCATTTGGTCACCATTATATTGCTGTTGCCAACAAAAGTGTCAACAATTCCCCTGGATGGCCTCTGGCAAACATCTCATTCAGAGAGAAGTAGCAAGGCATCCAAATTCAATCCAAAAGATGAATTCGACAAGATAATTGCATGAGCCAAACCTGCTCAAAACTCTCTCTCTTAATTCTGAAACAGTATTTGAAAACTTGGACTTACTCTCCTGTAGGCTCCAGTTCACTGATCTCAAACCAAACCAGAAGGTCATACTTGCTCATGCTCTGCCCAAGGCTGGTTTTGTTCATGGTGTTTAACTTGGTGGCTGGAACTTTAAAAAAAGTTTTTTAAAACATGTCAAAATCTGCTCCAAGTTCACTCAGCAAAAGCATAGGCATTTTTTTAAAAAAAAAATTTATTTATTTTTATTTTATGTATATTGGTGTTTTGCCTGCATATATGTCTGTATGAAGGCATTGGGTCCCCTGCAACAGGAGGTACAGACCAGTTATGAACTGCCATGTGACAGACAGTTGTCAGCTGCCATGTGGGTGCTGGGAATTGAACTTGGGTCCTCTTGAAGAGCAGCAGTGCTCTTAACCACTGAGCCATCTCTCCAGACCCAGCATAGACATCTTTAATGTCAGTCTTTAAGAGCACAGACTTCAATATGAAAGTTCCAGAGAACGTTAACCACTAAGTGTATCAGGGCCTCTAATCCAGAGCATAAGGAAAGCAGGCACCAAGGCCCTCCTTCTCAAAGCACTGTTCTAAAGCCAAGACAACAGGTTTTATGTAAAGTAAATGTGCTTTACAAATCATCAAGACCTTAGCTTTCGAGTTTCCTATCTGGAAGCATGGTGTCACATCACAACTGTACTGAGGAGACAATGCCTGGGAAGCACCAGAGGAGAGCCTGGCATGTCACAAGGGCTGTCACACCCCAGATAGTCAAATCATACTATCTGTGGGTGGGATGCAGTTCTGCCTTCCAAGGCTTGAAACTCTCCAGATGATTCTAACATGTGGAAGGATCTGAGAACCACTGTTTGACTTGTAAATACAGGAATCTGTACATAATCATCTGTACACATTTTCTTCAGATGTGTTCCACAGTCTTAACAATACTAATGCATGTGGCTTTGGTGGAGCTTCTTACTCTCTGTGAGTCTCTTCTCAATTTATAAATGTGGATCATAATATTTAGTCTGCTACTTAGAAAAAATATTTTGAAGACCCATTGGCATAATGTATATGAAGGGGCTTTATCAGCCATGGAGCATTTCTCCAGTGAACAGCCCATCAGCCATAGTCACCCAGCTGTGTTTCACATGAGCTGCGGCTGCTAATAAGGAAAGTAGGAGCCGGATGGTGGCAGTGGCAGCAGCACATGTCTTTAATCCCAGTACTTGGGAGGCAGAGACAGGTGGATCTCTGTGAATTTGAGGCCAGCCTGGTCTATAGAGCGAGTTCCAGGACAGCCAAGACCACACAAAGAAACTCTGTCTTGAAAAGACAAAAAAAAAAAAAAAGACATAAGAAAATTGGTTACTATTCTGATAGTCATCTAAGTAAGCAAACACTAAGTACTTAGGAAAGAAAGAGAGGAGGGGAGGGAAGGGAAGGAGCAGAGAGGAGGGGAGGGGAGGAGAGCAGAGAGGAGAGGAGAGAGAAGGAGAGGAGAGAGGAGGGAGGGGAGGAGAAGAGAGAGGAGGGAGGGGAGGAGAGAGCAGAGATGGGTGGGGAGGGGAGGGGGAGAAAGGGAAGGGGGAAGGGAAGGGGAAAGGAGGGGAGGGGCAGAGAGGAGAGGAGAGGGGTGGGGGCTTGAAAGTAGTTCAGCGGTAAAAAGCTTGTCTTAACAGGCACAAGGCCCAGGGTTTGATCCTAACACTACAAACAAACAAAACCCAACTACTAGTGTAAAAATCAAAATGAAAAATACTATTGCAAAAATATAAACAAAGGAGTATCAGGAGGGGTGGAGATGTAGCTGAGCAGGGAGAATGCTTGCCTAGTATAGATGAAGCTTGGAGTTCAATCTCTAGCACCCCATAAACTGGGTATGATGGCACATACATGTCAGGCACTCTGCAGATGAGACAGGAGGGCCAGACGTTCCAGATCATTCTCAGCTATACAGCTAGTTCAAGGTCAGTCTGGGTTAGAGACCTTGTCTCAGGGAAGAAAAAAAAAAGAAAGAAAAAAAATCCACGCACCTCATTCTCAAAAGAGATGGAGGTAAAAGGTGTCATTTCCTCCCAACCCCCCCTCCCCAAAAAAAAGCATTCCCTACAGTCTCTCTGCAGGAACTGTGATGTGATCTGGACAACACACAGAGCCCTACAGTAAAGCAGGGAACAAACAGAAACATTGGTGTTTCACATGTAGCGAATCAGGTTTTAGGAAAAATGTCTAAGTTGATTCTACATCTAAGGCAGAGCTAGTTTAGCTACTAACCATATCGCTTGGGTACCCTTTCATTCTGGAAGCTGGGAACTGGCAGAGAGAGAAGCGGTGGCCATGAGTCAGCCTCACTGTGGAAGGTGGCCACAGCAGAGGAAGCTAGCACAGTGGTGTGCTCAGAAAACGTGTCCAACATATGCACAGTCACATAGCCAGACATGAGAAAGCGTATCAGTTCAATCTTTCTTTCATGGTCTGAAGGTCAATGGGGTGTGGAATAGAGGGAGGAGAATGAGACGGGGGAGGGTGGGAATTTGATAAGTGGGTGGAAAGGAAAAAGAATAAAAATAAAGAAAAGTGAAAACAAGACAAATGAAGAGAAACAAATTCTAGTGTTGTTCTATTGAATAACAGGATATCTACTATTATCAATGTTAAAATGCTACAAGAAAGAATTTTGAATATACCTACTACAAACAAATGAGAAATGCTTATGATATGGATATACTAATTATATTGATATGTGTTCTTCAAAGTACATAGTTATAAAATGCATCATGTTATAAATATGTATAATTATGTGTTAATCAAAAACAAAAGTTCCGGGGCTGGAGAGATGACTCAGAGGTTAAGAGCACTGGCTGCTCTTCCAAAGGTCCTGAGTTCAATCCCCAGCAACCACATGGTGGCTCACAACTATCTGTAATGAGATCTGGTGCCCTCTTCCGGTGTGCAGGTGTACATGCAGGCAGAATATTGTATACATAATAAATAAATCTTTTAAAAAAAGTTCCAACAGCAAAACTTAACAGGCAGAATAAATTTATTTATATATATTTAAATAAATTTATATGTATACAGTGTTCTGCCTGCATGCCAGAAGAGGGCACCGGATCTCATTATAGATGGTTATAAGCCACCATGTGGTTGCTGGGAACTGAACTCAGGACCTCTGGAAGAGCAGCCACTGCTCTTAACCTCTGAACCATCTCTCCAGCCCGCAGAATAAATTTAATATACAGAGAAATGTTCAGTGACCAACAGAACTAATTACATACAAAGCACAGAGATTTAGGAAGGAGGAGGAGGAGGTTATCAAGTCTGAGTGAAAAGGTCAGAGAGACAGAGCCCAATTGTTTCTGACTTCCCATCTGAGATCAGGAACCAAGCATTCGTGTTCCTGTTAGAAATATACAAGAGGAACAGGAACACCTAAGGACACAGAGAAGGAACTGCAGTGTGATTCTTGTCTGAAAACCATTCCGAGCAGACACACGTACATTAGACCGAGTTCAGCTGCTGCTCACCTGGTTTGGAGAGTGGCATGGGTGGTGGGAAGAATTTCCGAGAAGGCTGAGGTGGACTGCAAAGAGAGAAGGAAAACATTCATTAGGACTAATGTAGTTAAGTGTTGACATTGGTACATGCTTAAAATTTTTTTTTTTTTTTTTTTTTGAGACAGGGTTTCTCTGTGTAGCCCTGGCTGTCCTGGAACTAGCTCTGTAGACCAGGCTAACCTTGAACTCACACAGATTCTCCTGCCTCTGCCTCTAGTGCTGGGATTATAGGCAAGCACCATCACCATCTGGCTTTTTTTTTTTTTTAATGTTTAAATCTTTTTAAGAAAACAGAAACATGCTAGGACAGTGTGTTTCCTCATTAGTTGTGATGACTCCACTCTGAGTCTCCATTTCATAAAGTAAAGGTGTCAGAAATAACTACATGCATGTTCTAGCTCTATTGCACCAACTTTCTACCCTATTAAGAATTTCTTCTGATGGGCAGTGGTTGCATATGCCTTTAATTCCAGCACTAGGGAGGCAGAGCCAAGTGGATCTCTGTGAGTTCGAGGCCAGCCTGGTCTACAGAGCAAGATCCAGGACAGGCAGGATTACACAGAGAAACCTTGTCTTGGAAACCACCCCCCCCACACCCAAAGAGATTTTTCTTCTGATGGGCAGTGGTTGCGAATGCCTTTAATCCCAGCACTCGGGAGGCAGAGACAAGCTCTGTGAGTCTGAGGCCAGCCTGGTCTACAAAGCATTCCAGGGCAGCCAGGGCTACACAGAGAAACTGAGTCTCAAAAAAGCCAAAAAAAAAAAAAAAATTCTTCTTACAACAAAAAGAAGGCATTCAAAGTCATCTGGACAAAATTCAACTTGCTGTATCTCAAGTTAGTGATTAGGTTAGCTAATGACATCTCACGAGTCAAAACAGGGTAATGTATGGATCTATTTTCAGTTATCTGCATCCCTGAAAAGATTTCTCTTCCAGGAACTGAGGAACTAAAAACCAAAAGAGCAACAACAATCCCAGTCTTGGCTCATCTGACTCAAACCTGTTAAGATCTTGTCCTTGCAGATGTAGTGGGTGCTGCTGGTAATGCCCAAAAACCTCAAATACGATGGGCTTGGTTCTGATGTAGTCCACAAATGACTCAGTGACCTCCACTGCAATCTAGTAAGAAGAAAGTCACGTGAGGCTGGGTAGGATTAGGACAAGAAAGCACACGTTTTTTCTCCCAGCATTGTTTTCTTCAGCATTGTTAAGCATCCTGTACCATGCTGGGTGATTCACTACACAGGCCACCTACACCACAAGTCAGATTTCCCTCTGATTTTCTTCTTAATGTGACTTTACCAAGTGTCAGCATTCTAGACCCTCCACAGTGGCGCAGAACTGACCTCACTCTGTTGCTACTCATTATTTCAAGATTTGCCTGTTGCTCTCTCTACCTGCCTTTTCTCTGTTGTACCTCAGAAGAGGCCCAGGTCACAACTCTGCTAGGAAGGCCTTCCCTCCAAAGCCCAGGTGAATTAGTAAAAGAGATAAAAACATCTGTTGACTATGGACTATGAGCAAGGTACAACACCAAGTCTGACACACCCTTTCTTCTTTTTCCCACCTCTTATTTATGCTAGCTACATCTTTCAGAAAACCTACCTTCTCTCTTCATAACTATTCTCCCGTACCCAAAAAAGTAACTTAAAGTCATTCCATATGGAAAACATTCCCTTTTGAATTTAATGAATACCATTTTCATGTCCCCATATTCTGACTATATTTCCCCTTAATTCTAAGCTCCTTGGGGACACCTGTGGTTTCATGAGTCAGTGGTTTGTTAAACAGCCAATCAGCATTTATCAAACACATATTTTCCTTTTAGTTATAGATATGTATGTATATCTATGTCTGTGTTTGGAATATGTGCATGTTGAATATGTGAAAAAGTGCCCTCAGAAGCCAGAAGTGGGCTCTGGATCCCTTGGAGCTGGAGTCTTATGCAGTTGTGGGCTGGGAACCTAACTCAAGTCTTCTACAAGAGCGGTACACACTCAACTTCTGAGCCACCTCTCCAGCCCATATTTCATGCTTTATTTTTATTTTTTTCTCTTTGTCTTTTCCTCTGTCATTTCATATATTTAAAATTTTTTTGTTTGTGCTAGAGTTCCAATCCAGGACCGTGTGTATGTGAGTAAGCACTCTACCAGCTGGGCTACAATCCAGGCCTCTCTCTCACTCTAAAAAGTAGATGTGATTACAAGAAAAAAAAAAAAGGCAGTTTCACGAAGGCAGTGAAGATTCAGGATGTTACAGCCAGGCTTCTTTGTGTTTAAATTCCATCTCTGCCTCTTCCCAACTATGTAAGCTGGTGAGTGGCAGGAGCTTCAGCTACAGGACAAGGTTGTGACAGTCATAGGTGTAGAAGTGAGGGCTCAATGGTGCAGAAAACGGGACTGGGCTGATACAAACCGAATTCTTAATGAACACCAGTGTTATGATGAAGATGACTGCTTTTATGCTTCATTAACTTCATTAACTGTGTGTGCATGGTGCATGGTGCTTGTGCTATGGCATGCATGCAGGAGTCAGAAGACAACGGTGGGAGCCGGTGCTCTCCCCCCACCATGTGGGTCCTAGGGATGGACTCCAGTCATCAAGCTGTCAGTAAGTGCTTATATCCGCTGAGCCATCTCACCACTCCCCTCAAGATGACTTTTGAATGGAGTTTGAATAAAATACACAAATTGGGAAGCCTACTTCCTTGCTGCATGTAAGAAGACAGTTGTATGGGACATGAACAGATAAATCACAGCTACCAGGGAAACACTCTAAATCTTAATTACAGAAGAGATTTAATCTTCAACATTACTTGTAAGCAACAATGTAAGTATCATAGAGTTTACAGGGTACCATGTTAACTTATCAAAACTGATATTAAACATGCTTATTTTTTCTAGGATAGAAATATTTTTTAAAAACTCATATTCAAACAGATGGAAGATTTCATTGGGAGACTAGACTGCACACACTTACTGGGTCCCTGTAATTCAGTAAGAGACTAGCTGCTCCTCCCCCGAAGACTGTCTCACTGCCCTGGCCACCATCTCTACTGTTCATTCTCTCTGCAAAGTTCCCTCATCTAAACACAACAGACAGCTCACACCTCACATGATCATTCTTCCTTAGCCAATAAAATCAGGGTACATAAACATGAGGGGTGTGGCAAAACATTCAGGTTACTCACATTCTGTACATGATAAAAGCCCAGGGGACTTCCTCTTCCATTGTTTTTGAGGGGTTCAGTGGAGAATGCTTCATCATGCCGGTGCAAAAAGCTTAATAAGAAGAGACAGATGAATACTGCATCAGAATTCATCAGATCTGGTTTGGTTTGGTTTTGAGACAGAGTCTCACTATGAAGCCCAAGCTGGCCACAAACTCACAGAGATCTGTCTGCTTCTGCCTCCATGTGCTAGGATACAAGGTGTGTGCTACTATGTCTAGCAGAATCTGTTTTAAGAGCCCACTTTGGACTCTATAGTTAGAAGCATACTAACAAAGCACTTTCTTTTGTTTTTACTGCATTGAATGATGATTATTTCTTTCCATGTCAGCATATCCCATATCATATAGACAGCATTTTGGATTCAAAAATGGCTAAAAAATTAAGTGACCCTGATTATTTAGACAAATGGACATATATACAAGCATGGCTTACAGAGAGTAAAGAAATCAACTCAACAAATGTGTAGCAGGGTGTGGCAGTGCATGACTGAAATCTGAGCACTCAGGAAGAAGAGTTGGGAGAACTGCAGAGTTCAAGGCCAGAGAAGTCTACATAGCAGTTCCAGGCCAGCCAGGGACACACAGAGAATCCTAGTCTTAAAGCAAGCAAACCTATCCTTCCCCCAATCCCAAAAAACAAACAAAAAAACCTACCCCTTGCCAGGCAGTGGTGGCACACACCTTTAATCCCAGCACTCGGGAGACAGAGCCAGGTGGATCTCTTGAGTTTGAGGCCATTCTAGTCTACAGAGCGAGATCCAGGACAGGCTCTAAAACTACACAGAGAAACCCTGTCTCGGAAAAAAAAAAATACAAAAAATACAACCCCCTCCCCAAAAAAAAAACCCAAAACCAAAAACCTACCTTTGCAAACAAGTCCAAAACAAATGAACAAACTACCCCCTAAAACCCAAAGAACAAATGAACAAACCTACCCTTCATACCCATAAAAACAAATAAAAAAAACTATCCCCCAAACCCAAATGAATAAACCTACCTCCAAAATCCAAAACAAAGAACAAACTACCCCCCAAAACCCAAAAAACAAATGAACAAACCTACCTCCCCAAACCCAAATGAATAAACTTACCCCCAATCCTCCCAAACAAACCTACCTCACAAAATCCAAAACAAAAAAAAACCTACCCAAAGCCCCCAAAACAAAACACCTACCACCCACCCATCCCTAAAAATCTGAACAAACCTACTTCCTCACACCCAATAAAACAAAAGAACAAATCTGCTCTACCAAGCAAACAAATCTACCCTAACCCCCCCAAAACCAATCAAACCAATCAACAAAATGTAAAGTCTTGTTCTTTTGTAGAAGTTTTTCATTTGTTTTACTGAAAATGAAATCATATTACACAGAGAAAACTTGGCAAATTTGAGCCTCTGCAAAAAACAGTAAAACCGCATGTGGGAGACTGGCCTAGGAGTCTCCCAACAGACAAGCGATGCTCAAAAGTCATCTGTTCCAGGAAGTCTCCTCTGACACAAACCCGATGGTTTGTGTCCTATAGCAGTAGGACCTCCTGCTCCTCAAAAGCCAAGATTTCACAGTTTACATGATGCACTAATGTGCCTATTTCTCCAACAGATGGCTCAACACACAGATTATACTCTATAAAATGTCAAATGGGGAAAAGAATATATTTAAAAAATTTTGCTTTTTTGTTTTCCATGATAGGGTTTCTCTGTGTAGCCCTGACTGTCCTGGAACTTGCCCTGTAGACCAGGCTGGCCTGGAACTCACAGAAATCTGCCTGCCTCTGCCTCCCAAGGGATTAAAGGCATGTGCCACCTCCGCCCAGCTAAGAATTTTTTTTTTTAAGATTTAAGTGTATGTGTGTTTTGCTTGCATGTATGCATATGTACCACATGTGTGCCTGGTGCCTGTGGAGGTCAGAAGAGGTGGTCAGACTCCCTGAAACTGGAGTTAAGGATGGCTGTTCACACCTGAACCTGGGTCCTCTGTAAGAACAACAGTATTCTTCACCACTGAGCCATCTCTCCAGTCCCCAAAGTGGGGGGATGGGGTGGGGGAGATTTTGAATAGAGGGAAAAATCTCTGTAGTATGATCTTGATTTTCACAATAGTCTATCATGTCTGAGGATGACAGTACCTCTGCCAGTTGCTCCAAATCACTAATGATCCATACTGCCGACACTGCAGCTTCCTGTGATTATGTTTATCTTTTGAAGTCTTTTGAAAAATATACACATTTAAAAATTTTCGTTTTATTTCATATGTATGTATGTGCATTGGTGTTACACATTCATGTACATTTGTGCCCGCATAGGCCTGGAGAGAGCATCAGAGTCCCTGGAACTAGTGTTACAACCATGCACCCCTACCTAAGTGGCTGGGAATTGGACCCAGGTTCTTTGGAAGAGCAGCTAGTGCTCTTAATTGCTGAGCCATCTCTCCAGACCCTTAGGGAGTATCTGTTTTCTTCTTTTCATTATGCCTTTCCCTTTCCTCTTCTTCTGCTCCACCACCCCCACTCCAGTTTTCCTTCTCCTGGCCATACACTATACCTGCCCAAGGTACCCATGAGCACTGGTGGGTCTGACCCACCATCTGAGTGACACCGATAGCCTTGCTCTTTAGTGCCCCAAGGCATCCTTACACACACATCTTCTCCACACATCTTTACTCACTTCATACAATAGGTGTTTTTCTTTACATTATGTAAATTTCCTTTTTCTAAAGTATTAAGTATATGAAACTGTTGGCTAGACAATTCGTTTAACTCGTTTCTTAAGGAGACATTTTGCCGTGAAAAGCACTAAAAGCTACAGGTTCCTTGGGATCAGACACTATGTTCCTGGAGTAAGGGGACATCACAGAGTCCTCTAGCAGTATATGCTGTACACTCCATGGGGAACCCTGAATCATTCCAGGATAGGGTTTTGATTCTTATTCTCATCTTGAGTGAAGAAAGTGTTCTTTCAGAGACTTGTCACATCTTTTCTCTCTCCAGAGCCTTAATCATTCACATATGTAAAACACTCTACTGCAAGAAGGACTCTCTACAGGTAACATCTTGCTAGATGGGCACAACAAAGGGGCAGTGTGGCTTCTTCGAATAAGAAATGTCCCCACAGGTTCAAGTCCTTGAACACTTGGTCCCCAGTTGTTATCTGTTTGGGAGGTTATGGGGCCTTGAGGAAGAGTCTTGTTGAGGAAGCCCATCATTGTGGACAGATGTTGAGGGTCTGCAGCCCGCCCCACGTCCTGCTCTTTCTCTCTACAACCCCTGTGTGAAGGAAACTGTGATGGGCCAGCTTCTTGCTCCTATTGCCATGCCTTTTTCTCTGCCATGATGAACTCCATCCCTCTGAAACTGTAGTCTAAGTTAAACCGTTTTCTTCTCTAAGCTGCTTTTTGTCAGGGTGTCCTACTAGAGAACAGAACAGTAAGGAACACAGGTGGCTTACTTGAACTGACAAAAGATGTCCGCATACTCTGGAAGGATCCCACTGGCCTGCAGCACGGTAACTCGGAAAGTGAAGGCGCTGCCCAGTTTCAGGTGGTTGCCAATCTCTTCGGAAAATCCCTCCATCACCATCTTCCCATCCAGCAAAGTGCCCGACTTCAGCTCTAAAGAGTTAAATGACACACATATAGCTCAAGCAATATGAAGAGGAGGGCACTGGCATTCTTTCTGTTTCTAGTTCACTAGAGCAATTAGGTTGCTTGACCGTGGCGGTCAATGTTTTCCCCTTGAGAATCTCCTCAGTAACAGTGTCTGCCTACGCACCCAAGTCATTCATTCGATTGACTTCTTCTGGAGGAGTGATAACTTCAGAACTCTGGCCCTGTCCCTCCACAATCCTCAGCTCCTCCAAAGACAGACCAGAACGAGTCATTGCAACTGAAGAAAAGTCACTCTGAAAGGAAGGCAAGGCTAGGTAAATGACATATTCTTCCATTTCTTGATTTATTTTTATTTGTGCAATAATAATATTTTTATTTGTACAACAAATAATTATTTGTACAAAAGAATAAGTAAGTGGACTAAGAGTTGTCTGAGAAAAGGTAGTATGTTAATGCATTTTCATCTCTGTAACTATTATACATGTCCCATATTTTACTGAGTAACTGTGGGGTAACCAGCATCTTAGAACTGCTAACATTCTAGGCAAAGGAATTGGGTGCCAGCATTGGACATTTTCCTCATATATCCATTACTTCCTTTTCTTTTATTAAGGTATTCCTTCTTTCCCAAACATTTCTTACCTGATTAAAGTACTCGTTATCAAAAGATATTTTGGCTGTTCCTGACTGTCGAATTCCAGAGCCATAATCAGGAGCTTCTTCATCCGCTAAATAGAAAGAAAGCCAGCAAAGACTGAATGAAAGTGCATGTGTGGGAGGACAGCTCTTTGTGCATTATAAAGTAAGGACCTTAGTATAAGAATAAATGGCATTGAAAAAATCTACAGCTGCTGCTTCCAGTTATTTTTGTAGATTAACTACCTTCCTCTGCTCAAATGAGAATAGTTAAAAAGAACTGGTTTCAATCTTCAGTTTGTTTATAATATCACACCTAGAAATTATGACTCCTAAACATCTTGGCAAGACTATATTCAATAATAGGCAACAAAGATTGAAACATTATACTAACTCATGGAAGAGACTTCTACAAACTCAGTGTGGGTGACTATGTGATGGTTTTCTAAGGGGTAAAGGCTGAAAGGTCATTGTACGGAGCTCTTAGGAGTTAAGATAGAAATTACAGAAAATAGCCATAGTCTTACACATATTACATTTAGCAGTGAAATAAATGCCTTCCGTTTTGCGATAGGGTCTCAGACATGAGTCCAGGCTGACCTCAAACTCACTCAGTAGCTAAGGCTGAACTTCAACTCCTGATCTTCCTGCTTCCACCTCCTAAATTCTGAGATTACAGGTATGTACCACTATGCTTAAGTGGGGGGAAAAAAAACAAAAGGTCTACTAGAAATACTCTGAGAGAAAACTAAGCAAGAACAATCTAAAATCCTTTGTTACTCTGACACAGGTAAGATAGAGTGGTTTAAACCATCAACTAGGTATGGTGAGGCCAGCACTCAGCAGATCAAGGCAGAAGGATTTTGAGTTCAGGATAATCTAGACCACACAGTGAAACCTTAAACTAAAAACAATTAAAAATACAAAAGTAAAATGTTCAACACTTGACCCAAGCACTGTGGTATATTGTATGTTTATAATTCCAACACTTAGGAGTCTGAGGTAGGAAGAATTTGAGTTTATGGGCAGCTTAAGCTATACAGATTAAAAAAAAAAACAAAACTATCTCAAACAAAAAGAGTTTATGACTTTTTATTTTTTTTGGAGAGAGGAGTCTTACTATGTATCCCTGGCTGTCATGTAGACCAGGCTAGCCTTGAACTCACAGAAATCTGTTTGCCTCTTGAATGCTGGGATCAAAGGTGTGTGCTAACATGCCTGGGTTTTGTTTTTCTGTTTTTTGTTTTTTGTTTTTTTGTTTTTTTGTTTTTTTTTTAAAAACAAAACAAAACAAAATAACGTCTTACTATGTAGCTCAGGCTGGCTTCAAAGTACTCAATCCACCATCCTTGTCTAAAATACCCATCACTTTTACAAAGTCAGTCTAAGAGTTATTCATGTTACATACCATTTTTCCCCAAACAGGCAATATCCCAGACTAAAGTGAAATTTAATTATGATACTAGAGGTGGCGGGGATATAGATAAAACTAACAGAAAGGAAGCTAATGGAGACCTTCCCCATTTGAACAAACACACTACCATTTACGTATGTGACTAAAGTGTCACCCACATGGAACTTTTCTATGATTTCTTTCTTTTTTTTAAAAAAATTATTTTATGTGCATTGGTGTTTTGCCTGAATGTAAATTGTGTGAGGGTGTGAGATCCCCTGAAAATGGAATTACAGACAGTTGTGAGTTGCCATGTGGGTGCTCCTCTGGATGAACAGCCAGTGCTTTTAACCACCGAGGCATCTCTCCAGGCTGTCCTGCTTTTTCTATAGGAAAGAATCCACAGTTCTCACTTAGAAAGAGGTCACTCACCTGCAATGGCCTGCACAGCCACACGCAGGAATCCCCGCACTTCCCCCTTCTCACTGACGACGGCCACCCTGTGAATCAGGGGCACGGGATACAGCAGGTTGCTCAAGTACACAAATGCCCTGTAGACAGAAACCCAGAGACAAACATCAGAACATGTGAGGAAGGAAAGGTTGGGGCTTTCCACCAATTGAGAATATTTTCCCAAACTGAAGCTGGCTCCTGGGCCTTTTAAGATGGCCTCTGAATTATGACCTCTTAAATTGCCTCCAGTTGCTTTTTCACGAAATCAGTACATTAGAAAGTGTGAAGACCAACTTACACCAAACTGTTCTCTTTTAAAAAATTATACCATAGGTACAAGAGTAACAATTGGAAGTAGATTTCTGTGATTTCTGTGATTTCCTGTGATTTCTACAGAGGAGTGGAGCGTACTGAAGATCTTAACCTTCAGGGGTATGGCTGTACCAAGCAATTTGGTTTCTCACCATACACAAAACAGAAACCAAGAGATTAAAAAAAGGCAGGGAAATGTGACTGAAATACAGTTACTAGTTCCAAAGTGAATTTTACATCACAGCATTATAAGTCTTTATTTAAAAGGACTATTTCAGAGGCAAGAGAAGTAGACATGTAGGCAGAGAGGCTATGTAGCCAGACATTTCTGAGTTATGATCTTGCAGGAGAATGGACATCAACATAAATGCTAAGGGAGAGGACACAGCCAGCCCCTATGGAGTTGGCCTTTGCTCCTCAAACCAAAATCATAAATAAAAGGGAAGTTACAAGTCTCCTCCTCTTCTATTT